AGTGGAGAAAGTTTTTAAAGAAGACGTGTGTCGTCTGTAGAAAATAGTTTTCCTTCTTAAAATAAAAAGCAGCCCCGTGGGATTTAAAGATTGCTAGCGCCCACTGCAGCAGGAACAAACGCAGCCCCCCCATCGCCTCTTCCTCCTTCTCTTCGATTTCTGCTGCAGCCCAGAGCGCACGGTTGGAGCGTCTCCAGTCTGTTTTGTGACTTGTTAAATCTACTATTGATCGTACCTTGACAGCCTGCTCCTTCTTAATGCCCTCCACAATGTCGATGGGCTCCTTCACAATGGCGTCTGGGTTTTCCGCCGCAACATCTTCGATGTTCACGCCCCCCTGCGAGCTGCCAATCAGCACCGGGCCCTGCGGGACACAAGTGGGGAGCAAACAGGAGTTGAATACTCAGAGTTGGTTTCAATTTCTCAATCTGTGAGCCCCACTTCGACGGGATTTGTTCCTCTGAGTGATTCTAGCGTGGCTGCTCCGGAACCATGCTCATGAAACCACCTCCTGTTTTGTCGGCAAACTGGACGCTCAACCTGCAATTTAAATCATCACAGCCTCGTATTCCAAAATGAAGTTTCTTTCGTTCCTGCATTTTAACACCCCGGAGAAACTTAGTGCCATAAAATGTTTCATCAGCAACGTTTGACAACAGCAGAAAGTTACGTAACTGCACAGTGAAGGCTTCACAGCTACACTCATTGATCTGCGGTGGTTTCGTCTGTAAAGAAGAATACCCACATCAAGTCCTCAAATGTTGTTTTGTCTGACCAATTATTGACTTCAAAACTATTCAGTTTGAAGTGAATGATCCCTCTAAACTCTAAAAGACATAAAAGACATGCTATCTTTAAAAAAATAAAATAAAACAAGTTCAAAAAAAAGTACCAAACTTACACCATTAAGAGCCAGAAACCGTAAAAACAGGAAGAATCGTTGGATTTTTGACTTTCCAGTGGCTCTTTATCGTATGTGGTGAGCTGCTCCAGCAGGAACATTAACCAAAACCATTTTTTATTTATTTATTTATGTATTTTTTGCCTTTTACTTCTTTTAATGTTGTCTAATGTTGTTCTTCCACTTCTCTTTGAATCTGTACAGCACTTTGTAACCCTGTTTTGAAAAGTGCTATATAAATAAAGTTTATTATTATCATTATTATTATTATTATTAACAACCAAAACCATTAGAAAACATTCATCACTCAATTCTACATGTCTCACATGAAAATCTGTTTTAAAAAACCAACGATTTTGCACTAGATTCTGTAAAAACCAAACAAATCTGTGCTTCCCGGTGCAGCAAAAAAGCCCCGACTGGCTCAGCTGAGACCAACAGTCGTGCTGTAATAGGCAGCGTTTACAGAGAGCAGAGAGGAGAGCACATTGTTCTGCAGATTATTTAGAGAAATCGATTTGCGGCATCGTCTGTGAAGAATGCCCCTCGAGTCTTCGATTGTTGTGTTTTGTCCTTCCAGTGGTTCAAATTCATGAGTGATTTAACCCTTTGAAGCCGAAAACACATACAGTAGAACAAAACATGTTAAAAAACTGATCAAATGACACCATTTGCCCGAGCTAAACATTGTTAAAACAGAAAGATTTTAGACTTTTCAGTAGTTCTTAGAGTGTCCATGCAGCTCTATTAGGAAAACTAATTCATTAAACTCAATTAATTCTACACGTCTCACTTGATTCGGTAAAAACCTACAAAAAAATCTGTGGTCACGACTGACTCAGCCGAGACCAACAGTCAGGCAGAACAACTTGCAAAACAGGAAGTTGTGGGACGATACATCCAACACGGTGAAACATCTATCTGGAGCCGACACGCAGTCAGTGGCATGAAAAATGTTTGTAGAGGTTGTTTTTCCCAGTGTTGGTAACACCTGGGGGGGAAAGATGCTGCTAGTCGTGGTTGTTTTGCTTCCATAGAGGTGCAGGACTTTATATTGCAGTGAAAAATGAAGCCACAGTGAGGAAAAATGGGAGAAAAACAAACCCAGAAAGTGGAGAGGATGGAGAAAACAAATATTTCTCCTTTTTTCTTGCAAAGCGACACAAAACGTTAATCAATCGAGCATCAGATCGGCTCACAATCAAGCGCCTGACAATAGACTAATCCCTTCTGAATCGCGCTGATTGTGAAGCGGCAGCTACGTTTGAATCGTGACTCTTCAGAGATTTTTCAGAGAATCTTTGTTCCAAAGACTCCCACCTTAGAAGAGTTTCTTTTGTCTTTACTCAGCTGTAGGCGACGTGATTAACGCTGAGACGGCAGAGCTCCAGTGAGGACTTTTGTCTTTATAGTAATTTAATATATAATGTATGATAATTGTCTCCTTATGCAGCATGTACAGAACCCCTACAGACACTTCACATGTACTTTTCCCCCCCAATTTTTTGCACTTTATGTGAAGCGAATTGGTAAATAAGAACTCCTAATGGCTTTATTTCTCCTCACTTTACTTATAGTGCCTAAAACGATCGCCCAGCATCTCCATGGCGACTTCTCTAAAACGAAGCTATCAGGGAAACTAAATTGGTTCTGCTCTTTCCGCAGAACAACACGTCTTATTTCATGTTTATTTCTGGAACAAGAACTGTTGATAATGCAGCAGAAAAATCCTGTGGATCGAAGGAATAAAAAGAACAAAATAATAATAGAAACAAAAAACAAGCTGATAGCTGCACAGCTTCTTATTTGAAAGTTTTAATGTTGAAATAGCAGAGATAGAAGGGTCTCCTTTCATATAAGTTTGGGTGGATCTCCTTGTTTTTATCCTCTTAATTTAGTTACCAGCCTTCCCAGCATCTCTTAACATTTAAATCAAGCGTTTCTTATGTCGGCACAAACTTTTAGCAGAACTGGTTTTAAGTTATTACACAACTTTTAAGACCTGCCGTCCACATATGTGTACATTGCACTTTGGGTTAAATTACCACAGTAGTGATTTTTTTTATATATGATTTTATGTTTATTTTTATTTTTTTTATATGTATATATTTTTATTTTTTAAATATATTTTTTATATATATTGATTTTTATTATTTTATTATTATTTTATCATTATTCATTTTTATATTTTTATTTTATTTAAAATCTATTTTTGACATATCTTTTTCAGATTTTTTTTATTTTCTTTACATTTTTTTATTTTTTATTCTCTTTGCTGTTTGATCAGATCAAATATCAAGAGAATTTTTTTTTTAAAAAGATATCAAACAAGAGCTCTGGTCTTATGAGGTCAAATTAAATAAACTGAAAACAAACAAAGCTTCATTTTTTTTTTTTTAATTTCTTCTGTTTTTGATCATTGTGTTTCTGGCTTTTGCGGTTTGTTTGTCTGTCTCTGGTCTCTGGATCCCAACCAGACTACCTGACTAAACAAAGATTTAATATCTGCTTTATTTACATTTGGTATTTAACTGATTCAGTGACTGGATATTGAGAGAATCTAATATAAAACACTGACTTCAGACTAGACTGTAAAATATGCTGGAACAAGTGTCTTTACCTTTAATGCTGTGCTGCCATCTGGAGGCGTTGGCTGTTATTTTTTTCCATCACTTATGATGCATTCAAGTACTAAGAGGTTTTACTTTTCATTTTTATTTTACTCTCCAGACATTTATTGCTAATTAAACATCTTTTACCGGCTACAATATTTCTGCCTGATTTCCCAAACTTCTACTTTTAGTAACGTAAACACGGTTATTGCTTTATATTGAAGAAGACACTTTTAAAGTTAAGTGTTTAAGCATGAACTGCTTGATTAAAAAACTTTTTTCTCATCGCTATGATATCAGACGATTTTTTGGGGGGCGGTGAAAGTAAAAGTTTGGTGATTTTTATATGTTTTTAACGCCTTTAAACAGCCTTTAATGTACATATGATGCACATGGTGGAAACAAAAAGAGAAGGATTTTAACAGCAAAACAGCAGCTACACTTACAGACTGCTAACTCCACATACATGCAGCTCATAAGCTGCTGATGATTCTGGGAGCTGCGTTTGCGTGGTACAGATATAACAAAATGTAGTAACAAGAGGACGCTGCAGGAAAAGAGTTAACGGAGCAATTTGAGCTTTCAAGCTCCAGAATGACTTTAATTTTCATAATTCTCTTTGAAATTAAGTATTTGTTTTAACACTTATTCATGCGACAAACAAACCTAATCACCGCGTTGACTTGAATGTATTTGATGTCACGTATTGTTTCTGAATGCAGAGAGCACCATTAAAACACAGGGATTATGGGATGTTTGTAGCCTCACAGCCTGGGGCATCTGAGGGCAACAGAAAAAAGCTGCGAGCACAACAGTCGCATCAAGTGAGTGACTCAGTGAAACACACTGTAAAGCTGAGGGGAGCTGCACATTCAGCTCTTTTCTTCTGGGATCCTGATTTGTTTGCTTATCCTCAGAAAGCAAGCAGACTGCTTCATCTGCAACTCTTATTTATTCATATTTCAGGACAAATTACTGACATTTCAGTGCAGTGTTTGATGGCTGCAAAAGAGGTTGTTGTTGTTGTTGTCGTTTACGGTTTTGTGCTTTAAAACTCGTTGAAAAAAATCCCAATCATCTCTTTCTGTGACTGTTCAGCCGCTGCTATGTCGCGCCTCGACCACCGAAAACCTATTTTTGCTTTGGAAATGAAGCAAAGAGAAAATCTATCCAACCCGAGGAACTCTGTCACAGATGATGAGCACAAACATAAAAATACTAAAGTGAGAAAATGGCTGTGATCACGTCAAGAGTCTGATCAACAAACAGCACACACTAACGCGCCTTTAATGACATACTTCATGTTTGACTTCTACAGCACAAGGCTTCCCTGATGAGGACTCTCTTCTCTTTGGATGAAGGATTTCTCTGGGAAGCTTCCCAAACAGTGTGTGTCAAAGTGTTTCCTGTCCTCAGAGAGCGTTTTCCTGTGGGGACTGTCTTGTAATTTAAAATTATCCAAATCAGCTATTCCATCTTAAATCATCAAATCTCTGACTTGCCTGAAATGTTTACATGGGTACTTCTAAAGATATCTGTGAAATTCTAGCTTGATATAACAAAAACGTCTTAATTTTTTTGACCCACTTTTGGCATTTTTTTCCTCACACATTTACATTTGAGGTTATGTTTGGACAGCAACATCTCTGCAACTATTAAAGATAAAAGCCTGAAATTGTCACTGTTATTTCTCATTATGTCATTTATTCAGAATCTGAAGTATTGGACAAGTTGATCAAATGGTCTCCGAGTACGGGTGATTCAGAAATATGAAGGAAGAATTGACACCGTCATGAAAAGTCCCATCTTAACATCATACAGGAATCAACTAGTGATATTTTCTGACCCACATGTAGCTGCATGAGACAATAATGCAAAACAAAAACCTACAGAATACTTTTTAATATGAAAAACTTGATCACAATAATTTAAAAGTTATTTTTGTTTTATAACTGACAGAGCAGGTATGACGAATTATACCTAAAAGACAAAAATAATGCGAGATATTGTCGTTTAAACAGTCTCAAAATCACATGTTTGATGGACATTACCTTAAATATCAATAGTTTACGATATAAAAATTACAACCAAATCAGGGACGGTGGAGCAGAAGGCCCCTGATGACGACGTCAGATGGAATCACCCAAACGCGCCTCAACCTGAGCACATCGTTTTGCTCACCTGATAGGACCTCTCCATGGTGATGGCGAAGTAGTACTCTCTGCGTGGATACCTGCGCTCACAGATGAACACCTGGTTGCAGATGCGACCCGCCTCCCCGGTCTGCTTGGTGTACAGCTTCCGGCCGATCATCTGGGATGAGATGTCCCGGGCCTCCTCTGGTCTGAAAATGAAGGGACGGGGAGGAAAATTCAGTTTGTGCAGCACTAAAACGAAAGATTCTTTAAAACTTAATGCTCCAGAGGATATTTTTTTATAATTATTCCACAAAACAGGCCTTCTAGTTGCTTTACTGTTGGATTTGTTGGGTTTCTCTCTATAATTTCAGTATTGAGATGGCTTACATCAGGAAGTGACATCGAATAAATCGATTGGTGGTGAATCAAGAATACACTTCTCAAGTCTGCAAATGCTGTTTTGTCTGACCCGTGGTTCAAAAGTATTCGTAATTTAACCCTCTGAACCCCAAAACACATGAAAGACACGTTATCTTTTTTAAAAAACTGCCAAATTATACCATTTATTAGCTAAATTTATTAGATTTCTGAGTCAGAAATGGTAAGAACTCAAAAAATTGTAGGATTTTTGACTTTCCAATGGTTCCTAATCATGTGTTGTGTGCATCTCCTTGAGAAAAATCGACCAACTCTAAGCCTAAAATTGTGATTATTCGTCAAAATCCCATGTCTCACTTGAAAATGTACCAAAAACAAGCTATTTTGCACGAGGTTCTGTAAAATACCAAAAAGAATTCTGTGCTTGTTGACGCTTCAAAGGCGGTAAAAATTCAAAGACTTTTAAGTTGAACTGCAGATTGTGTTCACGCAAAGCAGAGAGGAGACAAGCAGTGACACAAAAACTGGACAGATTTGTGTCTAGTCTTGCCTCCTTCATGTCGTTTATACACGGTGTTCAAGGTGACGTCTTAAAATGTCTTGATTTAGTTCAGCAAAACACAAAGAAATTCAGTTTTCTATCATGTACGACAAAGAAAACATCAAATCCGGCACATTGTTGGTGTTTTTTCACTTTAAAAAAATGTCTACAACAATAATTGAATAAATGGGAGCTCCACAGGGTTCACAAAGTTTAATTTAAAAGCTCTTTAAGATCCTTTTTTTAAATATTTGTTAAGGTTTTTGGAATTAGCAACTGAACACTGTTTCAATGTCACACAGGCTTAAAATATGAAACATCTATAAAAGCAAGAAGGGACACTTTAGCCTACAATTATTTACAAGTGCATGAATTTATCTGCATTTGAATGACATGTCTTCTCTAATCATCAAGCAGCAGAGAGCAGACGGCTGCATCCATCAGGAAAAAATAGAATATTTTAAGATCAATATAAGGACTTAAAGTAAGTTATAATGACGTTTCAAATTAGTCCAAAGTATGTAAATCCTCCCCAACAGTCTGTGACAGTTATTCCGGACGATATAATTAATTGGCACGACCTGCACCTGAATAAGCAGCAGGAACCTGACAGATGGACTGGAAATTATTAATTCATCTGAGCTGATTAAATCTTCATTCACTCATTATGAGCTGATGATGGCTGATGTTCCCCGACAGCCTGCAGCGACGTTTCAGAATATTACCGCCCACAGCGGCCAGCAGACGTGATTTAGCACCTCTGTAAAGTATTTAAGGCTTTTTAATACCTGTTTAATACCTTTCAAGGTCTGCTTTCCTGTTACATTTGATGAGCAAAACCACAAAAACCTAAAGAGGAATAATTAAAACAAGCAGGAATAGATAGTCCAGTTTATGTTTGCTCCTCACATGCAGCCTGAGGTTAATGTTCATCTCCATATTCTTGCAGCCTTTCAGTGCCTCTCTCCTGCCACTCTGGTGACATTTTGCCAAGTAGGTGACATTTTACGGCTTCAGGCAGCCGGCAGTCCGCTGTGCCAATTAAAACTAATGAAACAGTGCACCGATGCCCACAGCACCTCAGTTACATAATGCAAAACCGAACAGTTTTCTTGCCGCAGAAGGTATATTAAGACATTTTAAAGTTTCTGTCAGAAGGGAAAAGTTCTTTAGAAGAAAAAAAAAAGCAGGACTTTTTAAAAGCAGGATCGTGGGAGCAGCCAAAGTTTTGGATGCACATGGGTTTGACAATAAATAACGCAGCATGTGAACTGGAGTTTGTGAGTCTGTTTACTCTCCTACAGCTGAATTAACTCACTGTTAAACAACATTTCCTGCTGCTGCTTCACATAAACCACTTGAACTGAACACATGTCAGAAGAAAAGGTCAGAACTTTATATAAGAATAAAAAAATGATTTTTATTTGATAACTGCTATACTCAGGTGCGCTCAATAGTCCAGAATTTACGGTAATCGAATTTCAGGTGAAAACATTTTATAAGTAAATGCAATTTAAGCTTGTGTGTTACACATGGCTGTAATAAACTGAGTAGAAATTTGAAAATTGCTTTAAAAAAAATAAGAAAGCCCAGACGACGAAGACAAAACAAACAAAACTTTGTCTAACAGAGAAGACTTTGGGAAATATTTCAAATCTGGAAAGTTGTCGTTATTCATCACGTCATCTGGTATTAAACGTGTTTCATGTAGTAAATGAAGACGACAAAAGAAACGGCTGATTAGTCGTGAGTTAGATGTTCAGTATTTCAGGGAAAAATTGATTTAAATCTTTCAAAAAAGCTCAACAAAAACACTTAAAAACTTTTTTTTTTCCTGCAAAACTGAGGACGTTTTTAAAACTTTTTCTTTTGTAATAATTCAAGATGTATATATAAATTTTATTACAACTCCACAGCCAAGATGCAGAAAGAAATCAGATCATTTTTATCACTTCTGACGTACGTTTGTTTAGCCGTAAACACCTGAAACAGCTGCTCGGATATTAGACGCCGTTTTTATATGGCACTGATTCACACCTGCCGCCTCCATGGCAACCGCAGGCGTCTCCGGGTCAACCGCCTTAATTTCTTCATCATATAGACATTAAATCTGATTAAGTGAGTCTGGTTTTGCAGAACATCCCGTGTTTTACAGCAGATTATAAATGATATTTAATTGAGGCCGGGTCACTTACGAGTAGACGATCCTCACTCCGCCCTTCAGTCCGCCCTCAAACGTCCCCTTTCCTCTGCCACCGGCGAGCACCTGAGCTTTCACCACCAGGTCCTTTGAACCTGCACACACACACACACAAGCGCATCAATAAAACACACGGACATCGAGTGTGACAGTGACTGATCAAAGGGAAACAGATGACTTCTGTTGCTCTGTGGATTCGCTTCTTCACTCTGTTTCTCTGCACGTTTACTCATCGGAGCACCTGAACTTTACTGCAGCGCTTTTATTATCAATGAATAAAACGAGTTGCGTGTTGCATTCAACGGTCGCTGCAACTTCTTACTATCCTGGAATCCTACGAGTTGAGTGTCAGCTGATACCACTGAAGCAGGAGGAGGCTAAGTTTAGAGTCACACACACACAGAAGGTCACTGGATGTCAGAAAATGTGGACAGTCAGCCGAGCGCTGGGTGTAACAGTTCAGTTAAATCTGCTGGAGTGTCTTCAAGTTTAGAGCAACGTGGTCAAAAGAATTATGGACTATTTCCACAATTTTGTCCCCTCTAAGAATTCCTTTATTGTCATTGCAACTAAATTGAGCCACAGTCCTGTCAGTGCATTCACAAAATGCACAGAGAGCATTTCTAAAAGTACAGTAGGAGATTTAGAAATATGAAATGTACAAGTGGATCTATGGAAACAGCTTATTCTGTTAAAGACAGCTTATCTGGTGTAGTCAGAACTATAAAATCAGTTGTCATTGCTGAGCGTATACAAAATGTAAAGTAGTGCATACAAAGTGCAGTTTTATGGCAAAACTTCATTTCAAAACTGTCTTTTTTTTAACAAATCTATGCTTCTGTATGTGCAAAACAAACCAAAGCACCACAAGCAAGGCCTTTATCCTTTTACATGTTAACGTGGTGACAAAAGGGAGCAGCTGTGCACCAAGAACAAAAAAGCAGCAACAGCAGGGCGTCACTAATTGTTGAATAAATAAAAGCATCTTAAAGAATAAAAAGCAACGTTCGTGAAGAAAATTAACAAACGAGCCGCGTTTTGTTTTGTTGTTGAGGAAGAAAAGTCTGTCGGTGTTGTTTTTGAATGAAGAGAGTAGCAGGCTCTCTCAGAGTGTTGCATTATGGGATGTTTCTCGCTTCATTATTGCTGGACTGGAGTGTTTTCTGTTCATTTAGTGTGGACGTCTCCAAGGAAACAGCTTAACAGATTTAGTGATTTAGTCATGAAGCAAATTGTGCAAAAACAATGATTTTTTTTGTGTTAGCTTTAAAATAAATTTAAAAAAATAAAAAATCCAGAATAAAGGTTGGAATCAAACGTCATCTTGTTCTTTGATCACACACTTACTAATATAAATAAAAGCTTTCATTTTTCTATAGAGGAAAATACTTTGTATGGCTGCATTTGTTTTGAAACATTTTCTGGAATAAATCTAATATTTTCAGTGACTTTCCATTTACTTAATATATAAAGAACAAGAAAAAAATCCAAATAGTAGACATTTTGACTAATGTTGAAATATTTCGTCAATAATTGCAGCTTAATAAAGGAGCTGTCCCGTAATAATGTGTTATTTTTGTGCCTCTGATGCTTGGAGAAGCTAAACAGACTGCAGATTTAACGTAGGAGTTCTGATAAACTGCTCTCCAGATTAAACTATCACAGATTAATCACACAATATTAAAAGATAAATGAATCAGTGGCCTTGTACTTTCCCTTGAGTCAAAGTTCCAGTTAAAATCACTTCCTCATTCCGCTGTCAGGATTACAAATTAATGAGCACGCGAGGACACATCCAGTAGAACTAATCACGGAAGGGAAACCCCTTAAACCTGCCTTAATAAATCAGTGCACACTTTGTCCTCACGAACGGTGTAATTAATTCTGTTGTTAATATAATCAACCTAGCATGTACTAATAAGAATATCAGGTTGCAGCATGTTTGTAGCGTCCCGTCTGAGGCTTAAAAAAATCAATTAGTTGATCCCCTGAAAGTTCAAGAGCAACTAATTTACTGATGAATTTAAGCAGCACTTTGTAATCTGCAGCACTACATTCTTCTGGTTTTCTTCAAGCAGAAAAACAACCACCTGAACCTGTTTTTCTATTTTGTTTTTCACACTGCAACGTCAACATTTCACCGTCCTGTTTGCTGACTTGCGTCTATGTGACAGTGACACTCAACCTGACCTTTCTTATTGGCTCTTCAGGGCTTACCGATCTGCTTGGCCACGGCGTAGGCCTCCTCCGAGGAGCTGGCCACCATGCCGGCCGGCACGGAGATGCCGGCCTCCTTGAGCAGGCCGATGCTCATGTACTCGTGTAGGGAAAGGTTCCTCTGCTGCTGCTGCAGGTGGGGAGGCTGCTGCTGGGACCCATGGCCTCCGAACAGACCAGAAGAACCACCGAGAACCTGGAGGAACAGGAGGAGCAAGCAGAGGAGGCGCTTGAACTTCAGACCAGCATGTAAATCACCTGCCGGGGTTGAGCTGATGACAAAAGGGTGCGAAGCCTTCGAAATTTTAAAATATAGTTGGATCTTCATTTAACTTTAAATCATGAACAAACTGGGGATGGACCGATTTGTTTTTGTGTTTTGGGGTCGATACTGATGCCGATTATTGGTAATCAAGAAAGACAAGATAACAGATCTTTGAGGCCGCTAGATCTAAAGTTTTAACAGCATGTGACAGCAGAGAACCTGTTATTAATAACTAGGCTCCTTCATTAATAAGGGAAAATATAAGTCAATATTTAAAATAGAAAGAGAAGTGATCAAATCAGGACGCTCTGCTGTGTTCATGTGACTGAGACTGATCAGTTTGTCTCCTGCTGTTCTTCTCTATATTCTTCATATTTCTCTGTTCTGCCACTTTTATTACCCACTAAGGTCCAGATCTTTCATTATTAATTATTGCTTTCCAGCCTCTGTTTCAGGTTAATCTGTGTCTGCCTTCTAACTTAGCCGTTAGCGTAGCATTAGCCATGAGAGGAGCTAATTTCCTGGTTTGTGTTTCTGAGACCAAAGACAGAGAGAGGAGGCTGCATCGCACCTGGAGAAGCTCATTGAATTGATCAATAATCAGTTAATAAAAACGAGAAATACCGGCCACGCCAACAATCGGTCTGTTCCCAGAACAAACACCTATTTTAACCAATAACACACACATCCCTGCCTGTGTTAAACATATATACACAAAAGAAAAGGATTTTTCTGTGTTCTGTGTAAATTTTTGTTTCCCAAATATGACCAAACCAGGACGTCATCGCACTCATCAACCCTCTGAACTCAACAGTTTCTGGGTGATTTTAGCTTCTGTCACATTTTTGCTCACCGTAGATTATTTTTTCCTGCACGTCTATTAAAACCAGCACAATCATGATTAGAAGTAGAGAGAACTCAAAGGTGTCTTTATGGCAGGTTATAATTGCCATTTCTTTAATTATTTAACATCACAAAACTTTTTAAAAACCTGGAATCAACACATGTTGGCAATACAGGAAAAAAGAGCGGTGACGCTACGCACCATTTATAATTTACGACTATTTTCCTACTTAATCTACACTTGTCTCGGCCTGCAGTTCAGCAGAACAACACCAGATTTTTGTCACGTGCGTCACTAACGGCTTCTTGGTTGTGCCGAGGAACGCAGAATTTTATGTGTTTTTACAGAATCTGGTCCAATTAATTTGTTTTTGGTGAATGTTTTCAACAAGACATATAGAAGAAAGTGATTCTGATGAAATATCACGATTCTAAGGGTTAAGTTCCAGCACGTTGAAAGCTGAAAATCAGGTGATTATCTCTGTTTTTATAGTTTAAAGCCTGATAAATGGTGAAATTTTGAAGATTTCTTTCCAAGATAACACGTCTTTTAACCAGACGATGGGCTTTAGAGTTCAAAGGGTTCAGAAACAGCTGAGGACCTGAGAGCAACAGGTGGAGATTCCTGAAAGTAGACACAGACAGTTTAAAAAAAAAAAAAAAAACCTAATCCACCACAAAAACTAATTCTGAGTGACTTTTTACAACAGAACAGTGTTTGTGGTCAGCAGCGCAACACAAGCAACAGTGGGAATTTGACAAAGGATGTGAAACCGAGCGTTTCAGCTCAGAATGAGTCAGCTGGATGCCAGACTGACCAATTTCCTCAACAGACGCACAAATCACAATCTGGGAACTCGACAACGGTGATGCTGGACTGGACATTAATGGCCATTAAAATGGCGTAGTGACAATTATAACTGAGACAAAGTCAGTCAACAACAAACAGCAACAGATTTTTAACATTTAATATCCTTTGAGGCTTTGTTAAAGGAAACTAAATGTAAACAGGATGTCAAGTTTATGCTATTTGTAATCTATACATGTTTGTTCAAGTTAGGTCTGACATCATTGTGTCTCCATATCAAAAAAGGCCAAACTAAAAAAAATTAATACAAATATGTTTGGAATAAGTTCATTCTCTCCTTTGTTTGAATGACAAAAAACTAACTGAACAGTTTGTTCATCATGAGACATCTTGACATGACATTGTGATGCATGAAGGATATTTTCATTTTGACTATGAATCGAATGAGGAAATGAAATAATTACGAAATAAACAACTCATTATTCTCTCTGCTGCTGCTGCTGCTTCTCTTTATCAGGACCTCTGACACAGTTTCAGCTCTGCTTGTGGTAGCTACTGTCTTTGTTTACCTGATTACAAATTAAAGCAGGAGATAAAATGAAGGCGACAGGGCGCAGCTTTGAGGATCCACATAGCAGACACGTCTGGCTGTTGCAGTATTATTCTGCATCTTCTGATTGTGCACACAAACAAGCATTTTCTGCTTGAAAAAATGACTGACATGCTAAAGAAGTCAACCAGCTGCTGGCTGAAGCATTACATATCAAACATCTAAACATGGGAGTGATCTCAATCTGTACATCTTGTTCTTGGCAAGAAAACAACAAACATATTTCCTAAATGAATCAATGAATAAATCAATAACCTCCAAAAGCTAATATTTGATCATCATATTTCAAAACAGCTGGCTAGGATGGTTAATATCAGAGGGAGCGACAATAAAAATGAACGCACACAATGAGACTCACCAATCTCAGTTTTTTGTTGTTGTTGTTGTTTTGTTTCTGCATCAGTGTTGAAATCATGTCCACAATAAACCAGGACAGGTTGCATCTTTTGCTATGCATTTCAGTTTTTCTCATTTTTCTCCCTTTATTTTTGTGTTGAGAAGTGAATATTGACTCATATATACATATAACCTGCAGAGAGTAGGACAGAAACAAAAGTCTGGATGGACACAGTTTGATTTCTCAACCAGGTCCTGAGCAGAATACTTTTGCCATACGTGTCTTATCTTGTGTTACCTCAACAGTAATCATCTCCAGATTTACAAGTAAATTCATAAATAATAACTAAAGTACCAGTTCAAGGTTTCAATCAACTGAGTGTTGCAGAGAAAAGCTTATTGTGCTGTGTATGAGTTCTCACGGTTCCTGCTCTAATGGTGACTTTGCATTTTGTAGTTGGGTAGGAGGGTTTTTAATAAAAACAAAAACTGATCTTGCAGATTCAGCTGCACAGGAGTGTCTGAAAACGACACGGATCCCACATGACAGATATGATTCAGTGTGCAAGTCTGACATTTTGCTATTCGTGGCACCGTAGCATGAATTCAGCCCCTGCAGCCCGACACCCATTGTCTCCATGCACCTCCACTACAACAAAAGCATTTGCAAAGCTGTTGACAAGACTAATCTAACTTTAACTAAAGCCAGTTATGACTCTGGTTTAGATCGGTGACAGTTTAATGTTTGTAAATCTTTTCCAAAGTGATGGCATGAGGAGACACTGTGCCACCCCAGTGATCTCAGTGTGGCCACCCCAATTAAAACGATCTGGATCCGCCACTGCCTCTGGGGGTCTTGGGGCCCACAGAGCAGGTGCCCACCTCTCCCTGTTGGTGTCCCAGTTCTGGATCTCCTCTGTGCTTGTTTTGGCTGCGTGCTGTCGGACTGTCTCCGCAGTGAAAGCCGTTGTTTGTGCTCACTGAGCGGATTTATCCCGATAACTTTCCGAGATCACTCAGCGGGACAGATGCGGCGGGGCTGAACCGCTGAGAGGCTGCAGCTGCCGGTGGAGGTCACCGCGCTTCACTGCGCCTTTTCTGCGATAAAACCGCCATCACAGACAACACAGAACACTCTAGGACAGAATAAACTCAGGCCGAGACGCTCCTGTGTGTGTCCGCTGGTGTTGCTGTAGCCGTGACAGCCGGCCACGCCAGCCCTGCGCTAGTTAGCATGTTAGCCAAAAACAACGGAAACTCAATGGGGTTGTGCTAATGTCAAATTTGACCCCGTTAGCTTTGGGGGAAACTGTAGCAGATGGGAAAGGAAAGGCGCCGTAACTGACACCTGCTCCGAAAGCCAGGGACCTTCGCTTCAATGTGGACACACACTCACCTTGGTGGCGGAGCTGAGAGAGTTTCTGGCCCCTGAAGTTCTCAGGCTAGCCGTCAAACGGCCGCAGATCAGGGACGTCGCCATGTCTACCGCGGAGGAGGAATGAAGCAACACGCATGCGTAGCGAGCCTCAAAGACGGCTTCCCCAGTGATGCCTTTAGGTGCTACCGGAAATTATAGAATAATGTAAAACTAAACAAAGAAAAGCTGAAGTGGCCAGCTGAACACGACTGAGAAATGTTCAGATTACAAAAATTTGAGGAGGAAATTCCAGTGTTCGAGTGTTAACAGATGGTTAACTCACAAAGTTCCACAACCGTATCTTTGCTGTTTGTTTTTTAAACGACATTACCAATTTATTAATGGGCTGTTTTACAAACAGCTTGTGAAGGCAGCACTGTCACCCTTTTCCACAGTGTAAATATAGCCTGTTTCTGACCTTTAGCCTAAATTAGTGCAATTCTTTGTGTATAAATGCTCGTAAATTAATAAGGAAAATACTGTATTTTGATGTTCCTTTTCTACAAGGCTGTTTATGAACTTTTTATCATCTTGTAGTGCCTTTGTGACTTCAGGCCCTACAAATGTGCCAAGATGTCTGAACCTGTTGCAGCTTGTTGATAGATGTTGGGAGGGTTTTAAGAATCCTGCCTCAACGCACTCCCAAATGTATTATTAGTTGCGTACAAAAAGTGCTTTGCATTTTTACAGCCACATATATTGACAGTGAGTCAAAAATGCAGATCTGTCTGCTAACATAATTGGCTGTAATGAAGGTCAATACTTGTACTTGGGTGTTCACATTCAGAGGAAAATAAAATCGACTAGATTTATGTCAGTTTTCAAATTAAGATTTTAGTCATGAAGCATCTCAGAACAAGATATCATACGTACTTAACTATTTGCCAGCATGCAAAATAGATAAAATGCGCTCCACCTTTACAATGCTACTTACATTCAGACACAGCTGTGAAGAATTACAATAATATAATGGATATGATACTCTACATCCTACCATTAATTATTATGCGCTTTTACTTGTAAATGGTAATTGTGTGACTGTGGTAGTGCTACTTGTACTTCAATGATTGTAATACTTCTACCACCAGTGGAAATCAAAACAAACATATTCAGAGAACCTTTGGCTAACAGATGGTTCATGTTTGATGTCATGATTTGCAAATGTATCTGCATTTATCATTGAACCTTGAATGAAATGTTTGATGCCGTTCAAGGCCGTCTGAAGCCTCTTCTTCATGTTATTGTGTGTGTGTCTGGTTGCTTTGCCAATTTCTGTTTCATTTTGCACCTCCTGAGTGACTGTGTTACTTTCTCTGACCAGTTATGTTGCAAGTTTTTGCTGCATTTCTTAGTTGCTTTGTGCATGTGATGTGTTTTTTTCTTTTCATGGAGTTGTTTGCATCTCTGCGGGGTCATTGAGTGTCCCTTTGTAGTCGATAAATGTCTTTCTAGTGACGTTGTGCAGGTGAAGGTCAGGGTCCTGCTCTCCAGGCCTCTGGCTTTGTTCCCACTATGAGCCATTCATGTTAGCAGGTCTAATATTTACCGTTCTTACCTAATTTAGTTTCTCAAAATAGCCTTCTTACATTTGCTGAGTAACCATAAACATTCAGTCCTACTTAGGCTGATAGGCACACTGTTTTTTTTTTTCTGTGATAAGACACTAGGACAAATAACCGGTGACAAAAAGCAAACAATCTATTCAAAAAGTATTTATTTACAAGGCTGAGTATTTACAAGTTTATTTACACAGCATTTGTCAACATTGCTATACAACCACTCACACAACTCTACAAACATCTCATCTGTGATGGACAAAAATGAGACATAAGGTCACACGTACAGTTTAAAATAAGGGTCACCAAAGAGCAAAACAAGTCAAATTTAGGTTTAGCTACTGACAACAGCATGCAGTGGTCAGTAGCTGGAATACTGGTGTTTATCATGTTTCGAGGGATGTGCAGAACCAAGTTCCTCTGTGTTAATGTAAACCTCATAGTCCCAGTGATCAAAACTGGGATAATCTGGTCCACTTCAACACACTCAGGCAGAAAAGTATCTCTGCAAGTTAACTCAAGACCTTCAACAGAAGAACGTACTTTTATCTTTCGACATTCACAAACATGAAACAGACTGGGCTTTTAAATTTACTTGATATCTACTTTCGGAAGATGTGGCTCAGCGGTGACCTCTCAAACACACTCACACACAGTCAGTCTTTCAGTCGGAGTCGCTGCTGCTGCTGGAGGAATCGGTCGACATGGCCTCCACGTCGTCCTCGTTCTCCTTGTTGTGACCCGGCGGCTCCAGGCCGAAGTCGTTGCCGTGGTGAGGAGGCAGCATCCCCACAGAGACGTCCGATGACTGCCAGGGGTAGTGAGGCGTCAGGACGTCTGAGGAGACCAGAGAGAAGGTGGCGATTTTAAAAAATGACATGTCTTTACCTGCTCTTCTACGACATTTATTTATGACAGCTCAGTGTTAGACCTCTGAGTGTATGTAAAACCCCTTTAATAAAACGTTTGGGTTTTCCTTTATCACTTCATCAACCTCCCATTGGACTCACCTGGTAACCGTCCGGCAGCCAGAGCGTCACCTGGCAGATGTCCGTTCACGCCATTGGTCGGCAGGTTGGCCATGTGACCGAGCATCCCGCTGCGCATCTCCAGGTCAGTCGGGTAGGGCCTCCGAGGATCACCTGAGACCAGCGTTTATGTTAACGGTCGGTGAAGCACAACAGTGTTTCTACTGGCAGCTGCAGCCACTCTGGTTCTTACCTGGCACCCAGTTGAGAGGAGCACACACTGCGTTGCTGGCACTGATCCTGTGAGCGTACTTGATGATTTCTTCTGAAGAGATGCTTCCTGCAAAGAATAAATCAACAGCTCGGCTTTACGGACAAATCCAGAGTCAACAACCTCGGCGTAGGTCAGAAAGTGTCGGACAGGTGTGTTTGCTCACCTTTCCTGGCTTTGTCAATGGATTTGAGTTTCTCTTTTGCCTGATAAACAGCAGTGGCCTTGAAAAAAGACAAAGAAGTTTAAATGAAGAGAACTTTCGTACTCAGGTTTCAGTGTTTGTCCAGCAATTCCTAACGCAGGGCATCTGAAATACAAAAATGTGTCAATAACACACTGTCAGACCAAAACTGAACCACAGTGCATCTTAATGTTCAACTCAACCAAGATGGAAAGGGATGATTTGGATAAAACGCAAAGAAAGAGACATTTCAGATGCAATTTACAAGAAAATAGCAACCCCTTAAGAAAAACGGGGCTCCTTGCAGCTGTGTCGAGTCTCTTTGTGACACTTTATCTTCATGTGGTTATTTTTCTAGTTGCTCTGTGTCCTTTTGATCATTTCTAGAAACACAGTCCAGCCCTTTTTCGCTGATTTCTGGTCAAAAACATTACTGCCAACTAGGGCTGGACCCAAATAGCCGACTATTCGTTCACTGTTTTACAAATCTGCCTGGATGAACAAAATAAATACATTTCAGCCCACCAGGATGTGTTCGGCCTCCTTCAGCTGTTTTTGGAGCTGCTGGATGTCGCTGTCTCTCTTCTCCACCTCCTTCTCCAGCAGCTGCATCTCCTGGTGAACCTTCCCCTGCTGCTGAGCCACTTCCATCAGGTCCTGAAACTCCCGGTCCCTCTGCACCAGCAGCTCCAGGATCTGAAAACAGAATACAAAATGAACACATAGCACTGCTACTGGCAGCTACAAGCCATATCATGTTTCACTATCAAATTTAATGTACTTAGAAGTTTATTTATATTCCAGTGATTATCAGTCAAAGTGCAAACCCAGACTCATTCAGAGATTCTAAACTCCTCACGACACACACAAACTGTAGATCTGCTCCCACTCAGTCTAAGTCGTCATTGTTAGAGATGTCTCCACTACATTTTATTTCTGTTACCTGTGTGTCCTCTCCCGGCTGGGGTAGTTTCTGATTCCTAGACAGAGCCAACATCTCTATCAGCTCCCTAAACAAAAAAAAAAACACAACAAAAACAAAACACAGCAGGTTTCATTAAAGGCTGACGTTCACTAAAAAGACAAAACGTAAAGCTGCTGGTCTCCAAGTCCAAGTCTGTGTCTTTATTCACGGAAGGATTGTAAGATCCTGTGTCAAATAACAGTCATGAAAGATGTAGAAACAACACACTTT